AAAAGTTTGCCAGGTTAAATATACAAAATTGAAGATTCTTAGACAGGAACAATGATTGTTACAAATAAAATTCAAGAGCAAATAATTAAGCGGGATTTTTTTGGAACACATATGACAAAAAGTGACTGTTCTTAATATACCTTTAAACACTAGTAGAAAAAAAATGAACATCCTAGAAAAACCGGAGAAATGCAAAAGGCAGTATCCACAAAACAAGAAATCACACTGAACATAGGGAAAATATGAAACTCACGAACACTTATAAGATTAGAATTACCGTAACCTGAAAAAGTTGATCTCGTGGGTGGCTTATGAGAGGGACTCTCTCCCCAGAAGCGGGATGTCTTCCGAGAGACGGGAGACTCTTACAGGGCTTCTGTGAGACGGGAGACTCTTACAGGGCTTCCGAGACGGGAGACTCTTACAGGGCTAACAGCTGGCTCTCTGGCTAGCTGGGTGCTCTTTTCTTAGCCTGCCTTTGGCTTATCTGTCTAGGAAAAAACGTGACTCTTCTATAAGGAGAATAAAAGCTCGAACAGCAGTACTGTGTGTAGAGTAAGGTGCCCCTCCTGGCTGCCTCGGCCTGGCGAGTCCGCTTCCCCCATTGACTTCCAAAGGACACGCCCGTGACATGTAGGAACGCAGCACTTCATACAGAACCACTGGATCGATCGGAGACCACAATCCAGGCCGGCCGGCCTCTCACCCTCCTCACTCACCTGCAGTCAGAGCTTTGACTAGTCCCAGCGGACGGACCTACCTGACCGAGGTGGACTGCAATTCTGCAGGTAGAACTTGTATCCTCCGGGGGCCTCGGTTTCAAAAACCCCTTCTGCGGTTTCCCTGAGTGGCCACTCCATGTTCCTGGCATTGTCGACCGCTTGGCTCGAAGCGAGGGTGATGCCCTGTGGCACACAGCAAGGTCCCAAGTGTTACCGCACAGGGACAGATGGGGCGCGCAGAGAACAAGAGGGCTGGGGCCAAACCCCCACTGCCTTGACGTCACTTCCCCACAATTTCCTTCTAGTGCCTTACACCAGCATTAACCATCTGCCTCTCCCCGCAGATGGGGGTGTGTGGGCGTGCAAATGTTCAAGGGTCATCAGCCAGAAATGAAAATGTGGGTGCAGTTTAATAATCCAGTTCATCTCAGTGAGAATTCCCCTTCCTTTTAAAGAGCTCATCAGAGAAGGGAGGAAAGTGTGAACACAGATATACAGTATAAACACAGACGCACGGGCAGCCCGGGGGCCGGCTCTACGCTCTCCCATAGGGAAGCTCTGAGTGGAGTCAACTTGCCGCCCCCGACAACCGGAGCTTCCCACAATGACTTCCCACAATGGACGTCTCAGACACCCTATTCGCCAATTGGCGCTTTCCTTCCACGTCAATGTAACTGCTGCTGGTGCCCGCCGTGCCCTCCGATCCTTCACCACAGTGTACAACGGTCGCCCTCAAGTCCCCGCCAGCTCAAGGTGACCCCGTGGGCGGGCGTGAGTGGAGCCCCGTGCTCCCTGGGGCTCTCAAGGGCGCTGGGTCAACGTGTACAGAGCAAACTGCTCTGTCATTCAACAGTCCTCTGGACCCGGTGTGCTCGCTGGCACCGCCTGCAGTCCTTGCCAGGCAGCAGGGCTCTCCTGGCTTCTGCCCTGTGCTTACCACTCCCCGTCTCTCTCCCCTACCTCACCTCCTCCTACCAATGCTGTTGGATTAGTCTACTGCCACACGCATTTGGAGATGGTATTGGCTCACTAAGATCCACTCAAGGAGATGGATTGACACAGTGGCTGCAAAAACAACTAAGATCCACACCTGTAAGATATTTTTATTTCTAAACAAATTTCCACTATCAAAACATCGGAACAACTGTGAAGGTGGCGCGGGACGAGGCAGGGCTTAGTTCCATTGTGTGAAAGGTCATTATGGGTGGGAACCGGCTCGATGGCACCAACAACATTATATATAACAGAAAATATCATCAGAACACCATCAGACCAGAGCCCAAAGCCATCGAAGAAGGCCACCCCGGGGATCTTAACAGAAAGTATAGTCAGACAGCCGAGAAGTGGGTGAAGGGAGACGTCGGACAGGGCAAGATATGACAAAATACCAATTTATAAACTATCAAGGGCTCATGAGGGAGGAGGG